TATAAAAATCCGTTTCTTTGTTATGAGCCGGAAAAGTTTCACTTTTTCCATTTTGACTCGTAGAATTCAAAATCTGGATTTGAAATTCTTTTCTTGTGCTATGGAATTAAAAACGTGGAATTAGAAGATTTGGAATAAGAATTAAATTCCAAATCCACATATTTTTGTGTTAATAAACAATAGAATTAGAATTGAAGTTTCTACTTCTAATTTTATGACCTGAATTTCGTGTACTAGACTTTTTTGTTTCCTTCAAAATTCAAACTTCCCTATCTTCAATAAGGAGTATTAACTTTCATGTTTTAGACTTTTTCATTTCCTTCAATCATGAAGACTATCAAAGAAACTATTTCAAATATGAAGTCTCATATGAAAAATTATTGTTTATTGAGAATTGATTTGAAAAAAACTTTATTAGAAAGGTTTATTTGAGAGTTCACACATATTCAAATTTTCTAATCTTTTTTTGTCTTAATTTATCAATCTTTTTGAACGTTAATAACTCTATTATAATGTAGAATCTGTTTATACATTCTCAATATATTCATTGAGGTTCCAACTTATGGGAACCATTTATAAGAGTTAGAAAGTATAAAAATTGGAGAGCCATATATAATATGGAGATCCTATTCAGACAATTCAGTAGCCCATTTTTAATATGCTTGTGCTGACCATATATTTGGTTCTCCCCTTATTCTAACCAAAATGAAAAAAAATTATTTTTTCTCTTAGTATACTTTCATCAAAAAAATTTCAGCTCACTTTGTTTTTTTCCTTCTAAAACTACAAACAATTTGTACTTAATATTTTTATATAATATTTTTTCCTTTTCTTTTTTAAATTTTTGAGCCAAACATAGTGTAAGTGAAATATTGCGTGTTAAAAAGATGTTGAATAGTGAATAATTAATTGTTTTAATTTGTTTAGAAGATAAAGAAATATTTTGGACCATGTTTTCTTTTCCAAAAAGAGAAAGATAAAAATGAGAAACTTATTTAGAGACGCATGAAAGGAAAAAATAGGAACCTTTTGAAGAAATCATCCAAAAAAGGAGTAAAACATTATCCGTTATCTCCAAAATAAGAGTGACATCTTTATACCATAAAATAGAATTAGTGTATTGTGGTAGTGTGAAACTATATATTGATATTTAATAATATTTTTTGGCATTAAATGTTGGTATTATTGATATCATAGGTCTTATTTTAAAGATAAAACATGAAGATCTTTTTGGGCATTATATGTTGGAGTATATTTTAATCCTATTTTAGTCTTTCACCAAAACTTTTGTGCAGCGGAGTAACAACTACGTAGTAATACATATTCCCTCTATGTGGAAAGGAATTTCATGCACTATTATCATGGTCAAGCTTTATTCATTTTTTTGCTTATTTTGTAAAAAAATTTATGTAGTTTTTAAATATATATTTTTCATTTTATTTTTGTTATCAAATAGATTGATCATGAATTAAAAAGAATTTGAATCAAATACCTTAAATTGGAATGAGAAAAACATTTTTGAGTATATATTTTTTCAAAGTAATCACCTTTAACGTTCTTTTTCCCTGAGCTGAACTATAGATTTAGTTATGAAAAAGTACATTTAATTATGAATAAGTATATTTAATTATGTTACACGTTTATTATAAGTGGATCCATTTTATGACTTACTTTTGATACATCAAGATTATTTAACACTTATTTATAAAAATTTACTCCCTCAGTTCTTTTAAATCCTTCCCATTTTGACTTTGGGCAAAAATAAGGAAAGTGTGATTTTGGTTGACTTTCCAATTTTATCCCAGATGTGATGTGTAAAAGTAAAATGTGATAATTTGGTTATTAGTGAAAAAGTATGATGTGATAGGTAGGGTATGAAAAAGTAGAGATAAAAGTGGTTTTTAATAGAAAGTGAAAGTGTTTTAGAGCAGATGAAATGGGTGTGACGCCCACCGGCGTCAACCCCGATTTTAACGCCTCTGGGCGTTAAACACCGCCCCCCAGGCCTTCAAAGGGGCGTCACTCCCTCAGTGTCAAACCTTTAACGCGACGCTCCCCACCCCCAACGGCAAAAAACGGCTACTTTAGCCATTAAACAAAAAACATCTAAATTAAAAAAAAACCTATAAATTCCCACAAAACAAACACATCTCTCACACATCTCTCACTATCTTCTCTATACAATTCTATCAAATATTCTTTCAAATATTTAATTATTTTTTATAAATATTTATAAAATATATTTTAAAAATGGGATCATCTTCATCCGATGATGAAAAAAGAGCTCCCATTTTTTGTTGTTTCGCCACGAGTTGTTATCAATGGTGGCAACAAGGCGAAAAAGAAGAAGTCGAATCCTCCTGACGTCGGATCCGGACTCGATGACAACGTTTGAATCGGGATCGAACGGCTGCCCACGCTTCACTTCTCAACGACTACTTTAATACTCCGTGTGTTTATACACTGGGGGATTTTAGTAATCGTTTTCGGGTAAGTAGTCCTCTCTTTTTACGCATACTCGCCGATGTTTACGTCCTATATTACATTTTTTATGAATGTAATATTTTTTTATGAATGTAATTTTTTTATGCACTATTCTCCTTTCGATTATTTTAAATAATTAAATAATTAAAATTTATCATTTTAAATTTAGAAGATGTATGTTTTAAAATGTAAAAAATGAAGGTTTGAACTCATGTTTGAAGCCTCAGGGCTTCAAACCCATCTTTGAGGTAAGTTAAAGCTGACGTGACAGAGATAGAAATTTTGAAATCCCAAGGCTTCACGGGTATTTCCAGTGCCCTTAGAGAATTGGACAAAAATGAAAGGGGAATATGGAACTGAGGGAGTATATTTATAAATGGCTAAAATGTGTAACAGGTGGAGAGCTTTCTCTTTCTAGCCATGGCTGGGAGAGGCAGGCCGAAGAAGAATCCACAACCGATCGGAAATCCACCACGATCAGTCATACCATCATCGTCCAACACCAAAAAAGCTTAGGAAACACGAGGAACTACCAAGGTGATACCAAAGGATCAGGGTAAATTCGCTACAGATCTGGCGGATGTAATTCATGACGAAGTAGCTGGAAGATGAGCAGTGGCGTATTCAGAAATTCAGGTAGATGGGGTAGAATTGGTTGGGGCAGCGCCCCTGATTTTTTTATTAAAAAAAGACAATTTGAAATGACAAAAATAATAAATTTTATTTTAAACATTTATTGAATGTAAAATTTTATTTAATCGGTAATGTAAAATTTTATTTTAAACAAAAAATTAAATGCAATAAAATAAACTTTACTTCAATAAGATTAAACAAAAACTTAAAAGTTAGCTTAATTAAATAAGGTTCCACTCATTTTTGTTGGGAGTAAATAATGTGAGATGGGGTCAATCCCAATTTTAGATGGGGGCATGCATCCCAAAATATTATAACTTTTTGTTTTTTTAAAAAATTACTCCATATTAGTTTAACACCAAAATTTAGTTGGGGGCATTTGCCCCCAGTTGTTTCCAAGTAGATTCGTCTCTGAAGACGAGAATGCTCCTAAAATCTATGCGGAGGTCGTAGGTAATTCTGAATCTACTGATTGTAAACTCTTGTTTATTGACGCTGAGGAATCGAATGGAGTTAAATTTGCTAGAATTTAACTTGCAAATTTGTAACTGAATCAAATTTGTGTTGACTTCAATGCTTCTGCTTTAGGATCCTTGCTTATCTTCTTTGATTCTTTAATAGGTTTCATAGGTAGTTAATTGCTTCTTTCCACAATAACTACTAGAGAGGCAATGACTGCTATTGTGATGTTAGGATGTTTCTCTGCCTTTTCAAGTACATTCAGGAATTTTCTCTTTTGTCCTCCCAAGAATGGCAGGTCAGCAATCTTATAAAGTTGGTCAAATACCACTTTCTTAAAACCTTTGAGGCCATCAGAATCTTCCTTAAAGTTACACCAAATGCCTCAAGCCCCCATCACGATATCGGCCGTGTTAAGTGAATCAACTCCAAGATCTGTGATCTTGAATTTGCTAGAGACAGAGGCATTGAAGTCAATGTAAAACTGCATAACAGTGGAGCAAACTCTCTTCGTAGTTTTAAGAATTCAGGCTTGGCAACTTAAGAAATCTGAAGGCTTTTGGTTCTGAAATTGAGAAGTACAACTCTCGCTTGAATGGGAAAAGTAATGCTTTTGATTGTAGATACAATTTGAAGATAAGAGGTGATAGAAAGCAACGATGTGCTAGTGATGGCTGCCATGGTTCTCCAGAATGAATAGAAAAGTGAACCATACACAACCAATGATGAAGATGAGATGACCAATCAATTTATGTATTCACACGAAAACATCAAAGGATGAAATGAAAATAATTGACAAAACCAATTGATGAAATCAACCGAAAACCGGATGATGATGAAAGTGAAACTCGATCAAAATGATACGAGTGAAACTCAATCAAATCGACAGAGTGAAATTGAACATTGATGAAACTTCTGAATTGCAGAAGTGAAAGAAAATGATTGAAACTAAACATTCCAATCATGAGAATAAAAGTGAAAATGAATTTGGATATTCAAAGGGGTGGAGTAACACAATGAATAAAGGATCAATATGGATCAGTTGTGATGAAAATGAAATAGGGATGGCAAACTCATAATGAAGAATATGTTCTGAATTCTATTCAATTTGTGATGAATCTTGATTTGGAGGATCAATAGACGGAGATGTCATCAAATTGACGTTTTTTTCACTTGAATTAACATTCAGTGATGTGGACTTCGACGGCCTTCCTATTTTTTAAGCGATGGGAGACAGGGGAATTGGATTTCGAAGGTGCCGGATGCTGCACCAGCACATCATCATGAGAGTGATGAGATCTACAGTTGAGAATCCCCTTCAAGGCTTGAACTTCGACGTTGCGGGCATAGAACCGTCATGGCGCGAAGACATCTACGCCGTCGACGGCTATGTCATCACTAGATCCATGCGAAAATCATGATCTGCGGGAAGATTGTGAAGAGATGAACTAGGACGAAGCCTATAGAAGTGGTGGCAGATCTGAATTCCCATGTCGAACGCGAAGAGAGATGAATCGGTCAGGGCGAAGACAGTGAAAATGGCTTCTCTGTCGTCTACGAGATTGTACGAGAGATTGGAGGTGACAATCACATCGTTGAAGAGACCATACCCGTTTCTTCTCAGAGTTGTCAACATCGAGTCCATCTCTCGCCTCTGCACGGCGGAGACAGTGTCAAATTGGTTCAGGAAAAGGATGAGCAGAACGGCGGTGATAAATCCAGAGGTAGAAGACGCCAATGGAGGAGAAGGAGTAAGTGATGTGAGGTAATTGATGATTCAGCTTCTTCGTCCATGGAATCCTCCAGGGGCCGTTGGAATTATGCTAGAGAGAAATTGAAGATAAGGAGTCGATTGCTTGAAGCTATTGCAACCGTGCTCCTATACCATGTTGGAACAACAACAAAGTGTACTAGTAACTAGCTCAACTTTTGTAATACATAATTAACTCCTATATATAAAAATTGAAAAACAAGTAACAACTAAAAATATATTTCTAACTAACTAACAAACTATGTAACTAATCAAGTAAACAAATGCTAAATGGTTGTTTACACCAACAGAATCCGGTACATATTAGGACTCTACTGCGGTTGTATGCATGTGTACTAGGGGTAATCCACCATTAACGGTAATGGAGGGATTCATGGGATGAATTTGGAAATCATGTTTGGTGGATGAGATTAGCTTCTTTAAAACTGGGCATATTGTGGTAAGGTTTTTACACTAAACAAGCGAGGGATGAAGCTATTGATAGGAGATTCTACCTATTCGAAAATGGAAACCTGGTTATTTTGTAGAGACGTATACCTGGAAGAACTCCCAGATCTGAAATCGAAATACTGGAGATTCTACCTATTCGAAAATGGATGAATTTGGATATCCCAATATGGATTTAGCTCCCAGATCTGAAATTGAAATACTCAGGCCTTTGTAGACTTGGTAGCCCGTTTGGAAAGCCAATCGGAACTAATAAAGCCAAAGCAACTAGAACCAAAATAGAATTTGCCATGCTACAAATAGCAGTATACATGAATCAGGAGTTCCCAGGCACTATCCTCTTTGCTGATGAGAATGATAGACTCATCACACAAACTATTAAACATGAATGGCGTCATATCCATTGTTCCAACTACTGAAGTATATGACACAAGGAAGCTAATTGCAGGAAAAAAGATGGGGGCAAGGGCAGAATAAGAAGAAGCTCATTTGGAAGGTCAAAAATCCATAGCCAAAAGTGGACGAGAAAGATAGAGAGGGGAATACTTGAAACACAAAAGAAAAGGGGATAACCACTAATGATTTATCCCTAAAAGAACCACCAACAGAAACATCATGAGGGTACCACTCTCATGGATTCATTGAGGTTAATAGAAAGAAGGCTGCTAAGGGACATCCAAGATATGAAGAAAACAAAGTTCTACATCATGGTATCTTGCTGAATAAAGATCTGTTTAAAGGTCCTTATGAAGGAAACCTCCCTTTCTTATTATGATAGGGGTGAATGTTAGAAGACCGAATAGTCCTAATAAGCAAATAGTCCTAATAAGCAGGAGGAAGTGATAAACCTCATCAATAGGTATAGTATTAGTCTTATGGAAACAAAATAAAGGAGTCTAACCTTATGTAAAAAGAGAGGAAGCTTTTTCAGGATTGGGGTTCCTACAAGAACTAGATCACCCAAATTGTAGAATGTGGGTGGTCTGGAATAAACTTGTAACACCTTACAAACCGGTCTAATAGTTAATCTCTGTTTTAAATAAATTAGTATTATTTATTTATGATGGATTAATTCTTTTAAAGAGTTAAAAGTTACTGTGGATAGTCTAATCATCCACATGTGGTTTTTAATGAGTCATTATTCAAGTTTTGACAATATGAATTCAAAAAGGTGATTAAAATCCAATGTGGGTTTGTTGAGTAGGAAGTGTACTCTCACTCTTTTTCTGGCCTAGAAATGCAAACAACTTATAACATCAATATTTATTGGTCTAGTTGGATAGATCTCGTAAAAAATATCCAATGGCATATTGTTTGACAAAATAGGACATGTATATAAAAAGTTAAACACAAAATAGATGTTGCAATAGCATAAATAAAAGTAAAGATTTTAATAATAACAATAAACATATATACGGAGTATTAGGGGTGAGCGTGGTACGGTATTTAGCTCGTACCGATACCGTACCAAGAATTTCAGTTCGGTATGGGATTTTACGTTGTACCGATTCCAATCCTGAAGCATCGGTACGGTATGGTTCGGTATCGGTTTCGGTACGAATCAGGATGAATATATACATACCTAGTTTACATCATAAAATGTAACAAAACTTTTATTTTTGAAAAATCAAAAGTACATTTAACCAAAGAAAGAAAAAAATTTTAAACGAAATAATAAAATGCAAGAAATGCTTATGAAAGTTAGTTTATATTTCACAAACTAAAGAGAACAAGTGATAACAAAGTATTATTTCAAATATTTGTTAATATTCTTATATTCATCTAGAAAAAGTAAAAAACTCTTATTAAAGTGTAACTTAAACATAATGGAATTAAATTAAATTGTCTATATAAATTTTTTATTTAATGAAGAAATATAAAGATTATTATTGTTATAATATATTAGTATATATGTTCGGTTCGATAATCTCGGTATGGGAAGTAACCTCGTACCGTTCCCAAGTACGATTCGATTTCTTTTCGGTACTTTATCGGTTCAGTATTTTTCGGTTCGGTATTGTGGGTTTGTTCTAGATTTGATCTGTAATTGCTCACGAATTTACGCAGACCTCTTACGTTAGAAATTAGATCGCTAGGCATGTTCTCTAATCTTCTTCTTGGATATAGCATCGCCACCATCGTCTTTTTCTATGATCCGTTAGCGGCAATTGATGATCAGCGACGAGGAGGACGATTTCCATCTTCTCCGGCAGTCCTCCATCCCTTGCTCCTCCTTCCTCTCTAATTAGCGTCGCAGAATCACGGTCCGGCGTGACTCTTCTCTGTCCAGCAATCGACGGCGGCAGATTCTCCCAGCAACATCGGCAACCTCCAGCGGTGTTCGGGAGCAGCGGTCAAGTCCGGGCAGCGGCGAGCAGATCGGGCATGACTCCTCTCTGCTAGGGCGATCTCCAATTGTGGTGAAAGTGACCAAGCAATCTCTAGGCTTTGATGAACGAGTCCGGACAGCAGCAGCAATGTGCCTAGCAAAGGTGATGTCTTGGCGGCTTTCGGGCAGCGGTGTTAGAATTGGGTAATGGGGCGCGAGTACTTCGTCAACATTGTTTAGACGATGTTCTCTTTAGATGAATCGAACCCAGTCGAGGTGCATACGTGTACATCTAACACTAGAATATGTATTTACGTTTGAAATTCTCGTTCATAGTTGGAATTGCTTGACTGTGGTTTTGAGATTTATTGATTGAATTAAATGGGTAAAACGCATGATTTAGGCATTAAATCGTAAACTGTTGAACTCTATGATGTTATGATTACGAAAATGTTGATGTTTACACTCCACGTGCCGATTAGTGTCAAAAGAGCATGTTTTACGATCTGTCCTTCGATGCACACCAGTATAATCTACGATAGACCGTAGCAGGTGACTGCCAGGCAATACCATGCTGCCGTCACATGCCAATTTCCCCGCAGCTAACGGTTGGTACCCAAGGACCGTGTAGCGGTACCTTGGTACCGACACATGGTAGTTAGGTACTGTGCATGGTATCATGTGACAGAGATAGAGGTTCCATGATAGGTATTTTGAGACTTTGTATGTTGTATGACGGTAAGTGTGAGTGTTTACTCCCAATACTTGGCCGATACGTGTTATGTTTGATTGTTATGTGTTGATACTACACTTATGTGAATCGATATTGCTATGGTTGATCCAACCTTGAATCTAATGGTAAGAGCGGGCTAATCCAGCACGCGAAACTCAGGTTACATGGTGTTGATCTAACTCCATGAACTAAGGTAAGTCTACCTAGAGGATCTCTAGACTGACTCAAGTACTAGTGTTAAGAGTAATGTCTGTTGGGTCTAATGGTAGATTTGGGTAAAAACGTAGGTACGAGTATCCTAGAACTACCTCACCAGGTGGGGATACCACCAACTCAACGGAGAACTCCTTCGTCGGTTGAGCATGACCCGCTAATCAAGTGAGAACAATCATGACTCCAAGAAAAGTAGGGAGAGACCTTAGTTTAAGATAAAACATAAGTACAGGTAAATGGTGATCCACCATTACGATGAATGCACATATATGATTAGAATAAGGAAGGACAAGTTCGAGGTAAATTGTGTGATGAACTATATTTGTTAACTACATGATGTTAAACTTATGTGCATGATGTGATAATTGTGAACTAGTAGGTTTGCTTATATGTATATTTGAATGTTAGATGTTTTCACTCAGCTTCATAATTGAGTGCGCAGTTGTTTTGTTTTGACTGCACGCAGGTGCAGGTAAGACAGAGGTCAGTTGATTCCAGAGAGTAGCGAGACAGAAGAGATGTATGGATGAGGGAATCCAAAGGAATAATTAGTACGATGATTTTCTGTTCCAGTATGATTTTTATTAAATGATAGTTTGGCTTCTGTACTGTTTTGAATATGGGATTTCATATCACACGAGGTTTGATATTACATTCACCTATGGTCACAATGACCCTAGTAATAGGAGGTATATGGTGGGCTACTCAAAGCAAGTATATAACTAGTATGATTGGTGCTTGGAGTGTCATAAGAGAGTTTAACTGTCTTGAAGATGAATGACAGAATTGGAGGTAACAGAGTTACTATTAGCAAACAAAAGACTTTAATGCTTTCTTTAAACAGTGTGGTCTGGAGGAAGTAACCTCTGCAAGGTCTTTTTATGCTTGGTCTAACAAGTAAATCCAAGGGCACAAAATCTATTCTAAATCAGATAGGGTTCTGGGCAATGTGAAAGGTAGAAAATTTATTCATAATGTCCTGTATGTTATGTTAGGACATGGCCAAAGGATAAAAAGGGAGGGAATTTCTGCTAGGTGCATGATGAAGCCTGACATTACCATAGACTATGATTCAGTAAGCTAGCAAGCCTTAGCACAGATATTGATGTACTTTAAATTCCATGGGCAATTTATAAAGTGAATATTATTCTGTGTCACAACATTCTCTTACAGTGCATGTATCAATGGGAAAATACTAATTTTTCAAAGGAACAACAGGCCTCAAATAAGGAGGTAGGGCCCATATCCCCCTACTATTTGTTCTGGTCATAGAGTACCTAACTAAAGTTTTGGAACATTAGGTTAAGGAATACATATACAAGCACCATCCAAAATGCAATGATATAAAAATGATCAACTTGTGTTTTGCTGATGATCTGATTGTCCTTTGGAGATCTGATGAGAATCGATATTGCTATGGTTGAAACATCTTAAGGACATCTTTATGTGAAGAAACACTATTAATGTTTTATTTTCATCCACTTGATTTTCTCTTTTCAAATTAAAACAATTTATTCTCGATCTTCCATCGTAACAAATTTTAACAAAAACAAATTGTTCCTAGACGTTTACCTTTCTTCAGACCCCTTTGGCTTGCTTCCCTCCTTTGAAGTCGGATAACCTATGGTACATTTTCCATTCCAAGCAAAGAAAAGAAAAATCGTAAGTATTTTTATTTGTACACAACAACAATATGGTGATCGAGAGTAATATACTCAATTTTGCAAGAAAATGAGTATTTTCGTTCTACTAGAAGTGTGGGTTTTGCTGATATTTCTTGACAGTATTTTTTAAACTTGAAAAAGAAGAACATGAGTTATTTTAATTGGAATAATGCTTGGTTTACAAACAAAATGTTTACAAGTTTCACAAACTTACTAATTTTGAACTTCAAAAAATAAAATTAAATAGTCTACAATAATTTTAAAATGACAAGTTAAACTATAAATAGTAAGTTTGTGAAGTTTGTGAGTATACTGTTTGTGAATGTTTGTGAATGTAGCATTGCTCTTTTCATTGTAACAAAACAGGTTTTGGATTTAAACATGAGAAACAAAACTTCCCTCCAATATTCAATGTTACAAAGAGTGTCATCACAAGCTAGGTTATGGTACACTATGCGTTAAAGAAAATGAAGAAATATGTTTTAGTGGGAAATATTTATAATACTATTTCCGTTTACTAAAACGTTTCCTATTTTGAAAAATAAAGAGTATATATATATATATATATATATATATATATATATATATATATATATATATATATATATATATATATATATATATGTAGTTGACTTTTTAATTTTGTCTTAATATGATAAGTAAAAGTAAAATGTGATGGATAGATTATTAGTGAAAAAGTATGATGTGATAGGTATGTAGGACAAGAAATGTTACAAGTAACATTAGTTTCTTAATGGTATGTTTGGGAACATGGATTTGGATTTCAATTTCGGATTTGGCTTAAATTTCATGTTTGGGAAACTTAAGCATTTTGAATTTGGATTTGAATCAAATTCTTTACATTCAAAACAAAGCTTAATTTGAAATCCATGCATCTCTCCTTGTCATTTGAAATTCAGAATTTCAAATTTTGGAATTGAAATGCATCAATTGAAATGAAATGCTAGTTGCCAAACACTACCTAATAGAAAATGAAAGTCTTTTATGGTATGTTTGGGAACACGGATTTGGATTTCAAATTCGGATTTGGCTCAAATTCTATGTTTGGGAAATTAAAAATTTTGAATTTGGATTTGAGTCAAATTCTTCTCATTCATAACAAAGCTTAATTTGAAATCCATGCACCACCCTTATCATTTGAAATTCAATATTTCAAATTTTGGAATTTAAATTTATGAATTGAAATGAAACGCTAGTTGCCAAACACTACCTTAGTGAAAAAGAAAAAAAATAAAAGAAAAACAGTTTTGATGAAGGGAAGAAATACCTTTTGGCGGCTCCATTATCATCACCATCGGAGCGGTTGGTTCTTGCAAAGTCATTTTGTGTTTAACCAATTAGCTATGGTCTATGGATACCAATTTCGTCATAATGTACGCCCTATATATATACATGCAGCAAGGGGATGCCTTAAAAGATTGTCACTCTTTTGGTTAAAGCCCGTTCCGTTCAACTTATTTTTTCTGCTTTTTTCTTAATCTTATTAAAATTAGATCAGATCAGATCAGATCAGAACCAATCAGATCAGATCAGATCAGATCAGATCAGAACCAATCAGATCAAATTAGATCAGATCAGATCCAATCAGATCAGATCAGATCTAATCAGATCAGATCAGATCCAATCAGATCAGATCAGATCCAATCAGATCAGATCAGATCCAATCAGATCAGATCAGAACAGATCAGATCCAAATAAGAATTATTATTATTATTATTGTTATTATTATTATTATTATTATTACTACTACTACTACTATTATTATCATTATCAATATCTTTATTACTCCTTACTTTTTAAATTCCATATTTTTTAGTTGTTTCACTTGATACGGTTCTTTTAAAAAATAAATTTAATTCTATTTATAAAATATAAGAAGAAAGAACATTAAACTTTTTGTGTGATTATAATTTATGTAGACTAAAATAAATGATATGAAGCACAATTGTTTTCTTAAAAATGAAAAATAATAAACTTTAGAAACAAGCTAAATAGAAACCCGAGAAAGTAATCTTTAATTATTAATGAAAAATGTATTATTTCTTTGCTTAACATTGATAATATAAGGATGTGATCTTTTAATAAAAATATTAATGATTATTAATAACATTGATTATCTATATTAAATAACATTTTAGTGCATATATAAATTAAATAATTATTCTAATGTTTATATAAACTAATTATTAAAATATTAAATCAATATTATTCATTAAAAAANCATAAAATAAAAAATATTATTACATTATAATATGAATGATTATTCTAATATATGAGTTAATTAATTTTGTTTCATTAAAAAATAATCATAAAAAAATATTGATTATATTATAATATGAATTATCATTACAATTTTCAATCAAATCAGAACCAATCAGATCAGATCAGATCCAATCAAATCAGATCAGATCAGATCAGATCTAATCAGATCAAATCAGATCAGATCTAATCAGATCAGATCAGATCCAATCAGATCAGATCAGAACTTATTAAAATCAGATCAGATCAGAAAAAATAAGTTGAACGGAACGGAGCCTAAATGTGGCACCTTTGATTGGAAATTATGAAAAAAGTATATTTAGCTATAATGTAAATTTAATAAAATTTTGTTTATTTAAAAATATAATTTTGAAATATCAAATTTTTATAATATTTAATTATTTTAAACTATAAATAATTTGTGGTCAAATAGTGTCACAGTTTGACCAAAAAAGTCAAACTGTTACAATCTTTTAAGGACGGAGGAAGTACAAAAGAAGATGTACCAAGAAAATTTTATTTTATCAAAAAATCAATGAAAGTGTACAAATGAATAAAAGTTATTGAGAAATGAGAAAAAACTAAAGTTTTAATTAAAAGTGTATGATTGAAATATATTTTTCCGTTTTTTTAAAATACTCCCTATTTCATTTTTTACTTTTTCAACAAATATTTTCACTTTTTAATAAAATGACTAAGATAACCAAATAAAATCATTGCAGTATATTTCATCCATTTTGTATTTATATGATAAATTATTTAAGTGATGTAATTTGTTTCTCTTTTTTCTCTTGGACCTTAACAAAGATATAATTGAAAAGTTAAATCATAAAAATTAATCTCCAAAAAGTAAATCCATGAGATGTTTTAAATAGTCCGTAATTTGTATCACTCCATAAATCTAGGCGAAGGAAAATACAAAAATTTGAAAAAGAAGGTCAAGAAACCGTTAAGTCAACAAATCTTATTTGCCTTTTGAAATTAAACAAATATACCCAAGAAAAACAACAAAAAGGTGAAAATAGTGTTGGAAGGAATTATTTGTTCTCTTATTAGTCACTTTGTCAGGGTGAGGGGGTGACGGTCCTCTTCCGCACTTCGAACCAATTTCATTTTTTGATGAATTTTCGTTGAATTGAAATTTTAAAATGTGGAATTTGAACAAAATTACATTTCCACAACTCCCAAAGTTGGAAAAATAGTGATAGACATAATATAAATTTAGTTTAAATGGAGATATTAAGAAATATTATTATTCATTTCCATATCCTATATTATACTACTTCTGTTCTAAAATATTTGTCATAATACGTAAAACAAATCAAAATTTTGAATTTTTTCAATTTATTTTATTTAAAAAATTTTATGGAAATAGAAAATAAAAATTACATATTTAAAAATTATGTAAAAAATTATTCAAAACAAGAATAAAATTACATATTAAAAATTATATATTTAAAAATTATTTTATTGAATAATTGATGAAAACATAAAAATAAACAAAAATATCATTGATTTTAAAATAGTGAACTCTGACATTTTTTGAAGCATAGGAAGCATCATTCTATCGTATCATATCATATTATATTATATATTTCCTTCATTTCTAAAGAGAGTTCCTATTTTGATTAAGGTCTACCATGCACCTACATATAAGTAAAATAAACATTCACTTATAGATAGGATTGAAGAAGACTTACCTGGTCCACAAAGCCAAGCTCAAGGAAACCAGGCCAGGACAATGGAAGATACCGTCATAAATAGAGCCTGGAGTCACATCCCTAATCTTGTCGACGACCTTTTTTGCCTTGATGTGGGAATCCTTTATAGTGGAGGGTCAACCCTTGATGGAGCCCCAGTTTTGCTCGAATTGAGCCCAGGCTTCTAGAGAAAATCTATGGCTTACAAGAAGAATGAGTGAAATCTCATAGCACAAAGGTAATTCGGCATCCGCCGGATTGTTCGGAGGAGCTGCCAAGCCTCTGACCTCTTCGGCATCAGAAGGCTCGTGGGGAGTGATGTAGGACCTCAAGTGGTCTGAAACCAATTGGTGTTAGAAGAGGCGCATACTCTAGCCTTATAGTGCATTCAGCACAAGCACCCACGACATTTGATTGTGACTTGGCCCACATAGCCTCCACCACGGGACAATTGCTGCACACATGGCCAACAAGTGAGATTCACTTGAACCTCAGTATTCTTACCAGCCAATGATGGGGGAGATTTAGTGGAACCTGGGGTTGGATCGGAGCTCACCATCCCCGGGGCGGAGGGATTGAACCCAAGATCGGTTGTCCCTAGAACCATAGATGAAGGAGCAGTTGTGGGGTTAACGGGGCCCTTGGGTTGGGCGTCATCCATAAAAACGCCGCCAGGAGAACTTATCTCGTCCGACACGATCACTTGGCCTTTCATCGTGAGGGAATGATCTAGATAATAGAGTTCCAGACTATCATGAAGACCCGGGTCGAGAGGAGCGGTGTGGGCTGAGGATTAGAGGCAAGCTTATCCTCAGTTCCCTTCGCCTTTTTTCGCTAAAGGAGAGCAGTGATGCCAAAGTGATTGTGCTTCTAGGTTCGTGAAGGTTTTTGTAAAACCAAACCAGGGACCTTATGGATGGGAACCAGCGAGGTTAATTGAACCAGAGGTAGAGAGATCCCGGGGTTCTCTGGACCTCAGTAGACTCAACTATCGCAGCACTTGAGGCTCCACCAGCATCACAGACATTCTCGGTACCAATAGTGGAGACTTGTTTCACCATGTGGCAGGGCACAATGGGGTTGTTCCCAGGAAAGAAGAAGCCGGCCAGCCAAAATAGCTTGTTTTCTATGCAGATCCTCGTGCTCGATCAAATCTTTCCCTCTCATCTCTTTAAATTGCTTTTCGACCAGAGAAGATTTGGAAAAATGGGTCCGAGTAAGGTTGGAGCGGAGCTCCACAAAAGGAAGGTCTAGGGAACTATGCTATGGGAATTTTGTGACAAAGAATTTCCTCGGCCATTTTTCTATTTTACCCGCCACATTCTTAAATATGGGGCAGACTTTATTGGGGTAAATGCTGAAGTAGGGAAATGTACCCGCGATGCTGAACAGAAGTAAGAAGTCATCCTTGGACGGGATCCTGTTTCGGTCATGGCAGTGCAAGATGTAAGAAGCAAGATATTTGTGGATGTTAGCAGTAAATTACCCGGGAGCAATTTGCCAAGTGTCGCAGATCTCCCAAATGAAGGGATGAAGTTGCAATCCGAGGCCACTGAAGAGGGAATCATAGTGCATCACCAGGAAGCGATGCGGCTCACGATTGAAGGCGAGGGCTACACCCCCACAGCATCTGGATGATGAACCTTGAAGGGGTCGCCAAGGAAGTCACGCATGACGGCAAGTTCTGAATCTTTGATTATGGAGGAATCTAGCTGTCATTGCTCATGGTTCATGGTCTTGGAAGACATTGTGAATAGATTAGAGAGGAATTGGAAATCACTAAAAAAATTAAGAGGAATTTGAGAACGAAAGAGAAGATGGCAGAAATGGACTAGAGTGGATGTTTATAGACGTTACAATGCGAGACCCGAGGTAGTGGAATTGGTGTCGTTTCAAATTTAGATGGGGATCAGAGGCGGCTCATCATTAGTTTCTTAGTGACACGTCACTACAGAAACTATGAGGTTTGTGATAGATATCAGATTCCTAAAGTGGACTGGAAAGGCTCGAGCACATTCTTTTAAGCCCAACACGGCTTAGGGGACCTGATCCAGACTATGGAGATATACATGAGCCTAAAGACCGAATAAAACCAAAGGCTGAGCCCAACCCAAAGAGTCAAATAACGGGGGTAAGCGTGGAGCTCAATTCACTTGATCCTGGAGGACTTGAAGGAGATTTCTAACGGATTTCTCGCCCATAATTGACGCACAATTGACCAGTCTTTCCAAGAATACCACACACGATTGGTTTGCCATAGACACGATAGCCTTAGACTATAAATAAGAGGTGAATCCTTCATTGTAAATCAAGTTAAATCAAGCTAATACAAGAATCACTCAAGAGATATTTATCAAGAGTTTGTATTACTCCCCCGTCCATAAATATTTGTCTCACTTCTATTACCGAGGTAAAATATCAAGTTTTTTTAAATTTATTTTATTTACATATTGCTATAGAAATAAAAAATAAAATTTACATTTCAAAAAATTACATGAAAAGTTTTTTGAAATAAGACGTGTTAAGAATATTTTATTTTATCAAATAACCAATGAAAACGTAGAAATAAACAAAAGTTTTCGCGACTGCTGAAAAAGCAAATGTGAGATATACTTTGGGACGAAGGGAGTATATTATTCCCAATTCTTTGTATCACCATAGTTGTTGGGCTAAATTTCACATCATTATTTTCGTGGTGTTATTTTTGCACATGTTATGTGAGTAAAATGATGAGTGCGACTAGCTCTGATATAGCTATTGATTTGAAGTGAATGATAAATGGTGTAAAGACATGCTAAGGAATTGGTAAGGAATGGGGTGTGATAAGGCTTAGGCAAAATGGGATGAAGCAATCCTAATTAAAGGGCAATATTGTCCATTTGTTTAAAAAATTGAAGGGCAATGTTAAAATTAGGTACTTATTTGTACATCAAGCTAACACAAACACAAACAAATATTCCCTCTGTCCCAGAGTATTTGTCCACTTTCATTTTTGCACACCATCCAATACACTTCTTTAGTCCATTTTATCTTGTAATTTGTATATTAAAAAATTATAGAAATTATATATTAATAATCTATATGTTAAGACAAATCAAACAAGATCACACATGACAGTATTTAGGATTACACATTGAAAGAATTTGATGAATCAAAGTGCTTAGATGAACAGTTCCAAAAGTCAAAAGGGGACGAATATAGCGGGACAGAGGGAGTATATAATGTCTTTGTATGTCACTCTTAGAGCACTGGTAATACATGCAACGCCCCCCGGCGTGATGGGGCGTTTAACGCCCCGGGGGCGTGAAACTCCGCCCCCCTCCGGGCGTGAGTTCACCAGCGTCAAAAGTTTGACGCGGCTTGGCTGCGTTTTTTAGCCGGCTCCCCCCTTCCCAACGGCTA